TGCTAGCTGGAGGAAGCAGCTACGGAGGGTCCACGAATGCACAATACCACGGCCATTCTTAACCAAATCGTCAGTTGACGCACGTGCCGTTTTATTTCATACACAGCACGGTCTTACACTCATCCCCTTGGAGTTGGATTGACCGACCGATGATGCTTGCATAATGTCGCACGGCGCGTCGTTTAGCTAATTTTGACTAGCGATAGTCTTAGGGGAACCAACCCGATTGAGATGCAGGGTTCACACTGGATGCATGCACGGGCAATCATAGTAGGAGTACCCATTACAATGCAGCACTACAAAACTACAAATTGCAGGCAAATTTTGTTAGTTAATGTGCTGGCCGAAGGAGGACTCCAGAAGAGGCGGCAAACAGATCTATACTAGAAGAACACCCGTGCGTTGCAACGGAGCCACATTAACTTTAAAAGTTCAATATTAATATTCTCATATATATCAAGTGACATTGGCGACCTTTTTTATCATCAATTCCTCACACACACTCTCTGCCTCCCTCTTCCTCACTCTCTCCCCCTCTCCCCCTCTCTCTCTCTCTCTAACACACACATATCCATCTTATTGGGTACGGGACCATAATCCATCTATTTCACACACACAAGCTAGTACATAACAATATGGATTATGTGTATTATATTTGCCACCACAACTGAGGGAATTAATTTCATGTAAATCGGCCAGCCACAGCTCCAAGAATACGCGGAGGAGGTGGCCCGGGTCGGCGTCGGCGCCGTCCGGCACGGGCCACGGGCCCGCTTCCAAGCGCGTTTGCGCGTCGGCCACCCACGCCGTGTCCTTCAAGTGCCACTTCCACCGCACCAACTCACAGGGTCACGGCCATGGCCAGGGCCAGGGAAGCCGCCCTTCTTTGCTCCCTTCACCGGCCGCGGCCAACGCGGTGCCGCGGCACCCGGCCTCGCCGTCCTCGTCCTCCAGCACTGTCGCGACCCAGTGACGCAGCCCAAGCATCGGCCTCGAGAATCAAGAACGCTCGACAACGTAGAGGGAAGGAAAGATCATATACATGTCATAAGAAAGGGAGTTTATTTACTGCTCCCTCGATGTATTGTTTCCTTTGTTTGGAGATTGATTACCATCCGTGAGTTAAGGTAAGGTTTACGTGATTGAGCGATTTTTTGAAAATCAACTATTTGTTTTCTAATTAATGTAACTGAGTGATTTAAGGTAAGGTTAATTAATTTAGATTTGATCTTTAGAGATTGTTCGTGATTGATTCTACATTACTAAATAACTTGCGCCAGTATGAAAAGTTCTGATCTGTTTAGATTTCTTTCGTTGTGTGAGAGGGTGACGCGAAAATAAACCGATGAAGTGAGGGGAGGGAACGAAAAAAATCTACGAAAAAAAACCAGCAAAGGTGGGAGGAGGTACCAAAAAAAACCATGGAAGGTGGGAGGAGACTACCAACTGTTTCATTAGGAGTAGAAATTATTAGAGATTAGAGATTATTTGTTTCTTGAAAATCTATTATTTGTTTCCTAAAGCAAATTGCATTAATGAGAGAGATTTTGTAGATTTGGTTAAGGTAGGAAAGAATCTATTATTTGTTTGCTAAAGCAAATTGCATTAATGGGAGGGATCCGTTGATTTGGCTAAGGTAGGAAAGAATCTATTATTTGTTTGCTAAAGCAAATTGCATTAATAGAAAAGATCCGTTGATTTGGCTAAGGTAGGAAAGAATCCATTATTTGTTTCCTAAAGAAAATTGCATTAATGAGAGAGATTTGTTGATTTGGCTAAGGTAGGCGGTTTTTGCGGTTCGTGGCGGCTTAGTGTGAGGTGGGACGAGGTACCAAAAAAAACCATGGGAGGTGGGACGAAAAAAACCTGGGAGGTGGGAGTTGTCCCTGGTTAACCTACGAAATTTCGTAGATTTTTTTAGGACGAAAAAAAACCGTGGAAGGTGGGACTAAAAAAAACCTGAAAGCGAGACTACCAACTGCTCCCTTAGGAATAGAGATTTTTCTTATGTGTAGGAAGAAAAATAGAGCAATGTTGGATACACCATTGATAGGTAATTGAATTGCAGGTAGAAAGTATACCAATAATTTTACATATACATTTTGACCGAAGAAAATTATGCTTCCAAAAGGGTGGAAATTTGTTTCCAACAACAATCACTTGTACTTCCAATGTGAACAAAATCTGAATCACGTGTGGCTACTACACATATGGTATCCTTCAACCCGGCCAAATGCAAGACCGCTGGAGCACAGCCGACGTAGCACGCATGAGAGCATCGCTACCACGCAGCCACATTGAAAAGGGACCTCATGAGTCTATAGCATGCAGCCCCAATTACAGGCTTCAACGAGCAGAGCACGACCATACCACTTCAAGCAGCAACTACAAAATGTCTGACGAGGAGTAGCAGAGGAAACGAAGGTCTGCACACCGGCGAAATTACAGTGCCACACCGGCCAGATTGGGGATGCAGCGCGACGAACGGATCACAAGGAGCGTTGTGGGGGCATGAAGCACACATGCACATGCTTAGCCATCAAGGCGACATGGTGTGTGCGTTCTTGCCGGAGGACTTGCTGGTCGAACGTAGATGCGGTGGTGCGATAAGAGCGAGGTTGAAGCGAGGAGGATCCAGATGGCAGGTGTGGCAGAGAGGGTGGCGAGGTAGTTGATTAGAGTTTGATGGTGGATGTGAGGATGATTCGGAGGGGTTATATAGTACAGCCAGGCGTTGTTGGATGCATGGCTCCAAAACGATTGGTGAGATGCTGGTCTGACGAAAGCCATGTATTAGACGTCTCACAGGAATAGTTTTCCTTTATATTTATAGCCTTACCATACCTGGATTGATTTATTGCCATATAATTACCATATTCGAAATTTCCTGAGTTATGACCTTACCATACCTGGATGGATTTATTACTATAATAATCATATTTGAGATTTCTGAGTTTATAGCCTTACCATACGTGGATTAATTGTGATTGATTACCATAAATACATTGGGTGTTGCCGGTTAGATGAGAAAAGAGGAAAACCGGTGAGAGGGTGGTGGTGGGAGGTGGGATGAAGAAAAACCAGATGAAAAAAAGCCAGACGAAAATAAATCGTGGAGACTATTCACCAACTCAGATTTCCTTCTCTTTCACTGAACTCGGGAAATCCTTCCTGCATGTGACGCACGGCCTTAACTGCCCTGCAATCTCCACGATTATCTTCCCTACATACACGTGATTGTTTCCTTCTTATTTGTTAACAGATTGGCTAGCACCATTATATATCGGGAGCAAGAAAATCGCCCGAGATATCGCTTCGTTTTATTGAATTGATTGTGTCTGGTTACCTTAAGTTAATTGATTGCGTTTGGAAAGAATTGATTGTCATGCATGATTGCATTTGGAAAGAATTGATTGTCATGCATGAATCGGGGACGTAAGGGGGAAAACGGAACCTGACTGCGTGCGGTGAATGGGGTGGGGTAGGGGTGGGCATGGTGTGATGAAAAAAACCGGTTGAAAAAAAACCATGGTAGGTGGGACGAAAAAAAACCATGGTAGGTGGGACGAAAAAAAACCTCGAAGCGAGACTACCAACTGCTCCATTAGGAGTAGAGATATGGCAGGCATACAACCGAAGAAAGTAGCTAGTTGTAGTATTAATTGGTCAAGCTTGTACATCCATCATCCAGAAATAGGACTTTATCAAAGCCCCACTAGGCTAATTAAACCCCAGTTGGCAGCCTGTTGGCAATACAAAAACATCTGATTCTGCCAATACCATGGGCGGATCTGGTGAGCATGGGAGTGGTCTGGATTTGGCTTTGCGTTTGGTTAGTTACGGACTGGTACCCGAACACTACAAATAGAGAAAAGGAAACTCTTCAAGGGAGGACCCAAAATCATCCCCGAATGTTCAGGTTGTTCGCAAACCCTAAACTCAGCTCATATGTGAGGTGGAAATGGGGTTGCCCGGACATATCCGGAGAGCCCACAACACCCCGACAACTTTTTTTTCTTCTCTCTTTTCTTTCCCACCAATCAAATGCATTTGTATCGAAATTTGGAGACAAATGGATCGTGAACATTGCATGCATCGACAAATAAGATTTCCGTGGGCATGTATAAAGACATTATGTTGTTTGGACGCTTCGGTGGAGAAATGGGCGTTCAAAATAGCCTAGTATGATTCCAGAGGCTCTCCGGTACGCCGGTGTTTTAGGGCTAACTAATCGCATGACAGCCAAGTTTCAGGGAACATGAGCGGTGAATGTGTCGCCCACACTTCTCCCCTAACTCTAGCTAGAAGCCATGAGATGTGCTAATATGTGTTAGGTGCGATGATGAGGACAATGGTAGCAACAGCGAAGCTAATGTGCATGCCGGGTGCCGGTGTCCCTGGCTTTGGCTCGGATGATGGTGGGATTCTTGTTGGCTTAGCATCGCCGATCTTGCCTCGTGTATGGTAGGTTTAGCTGTGATGTATCCTCTGTTCGGGCCGAGCATCCCTTGTCTCTCTGCTCTGGGCAACATGTTCACACCTGCCTACATTTGTGTCATGTGTTCTATCCGTCTATACTCATTCTACTCCTTCTATGAATGAAATGATACACAAGCTTTGCATATTTACGAAAAAAAAGGGCTCCGGCCAGTGGTGGTGCCACTGGTGTCTGGTGATCTACACTCTGTTGAGCAGCTGGTGGTGAGCTTCCGCAGATTTTGTGTGATTTTAGGTTTGGACAAGGATGTCTTTTCCTCGTACACGTATAGGCTACAAGGACCCTAGATTTGCTTAATTCCGGGCTCCATAAATGGATTACAGAATTGCACCTGCTTGATGCGGTGATGACCTTTACCCAAGAAGATTAACAAGAAAATGTCAGCATAGGTATGTACAAACTAGCCAGCTTAATTAGTAGGCTGAGGCTTTACTGACGGCTTTTCGGCCATCGAATCCGTGCTTCACCGACGGAAGGAGAGCGTTGGCACAAGCGAAACATGCTATCGGTACAAAGCAATGTCTTCAACATCGAAGAACTCGCTAACGTAATCAAAGGAGCAGTTGCCAAAGAAATCCCAGTCAGAGCAGACAGCCGCTGACTCCCAGGAGGAGGAACAATGGATGTCGTCGGTGGAGGAGCTCAGCTCCGCCACTTTCCCCGCCGGCCGCATGTCTGGCAACGGCGTTGACTCGACTTTGGCCACCTCGGCTGGGAGCTCCTCCGAGAGTGAGGTTTTTCCACTCGGATCGTCACCGTCGTCAGGCCGTGGCGAGCGGCTGCCCACGGACCCAAAGTCGAGGATCTTGACGTCGTCCAAGGCGGCGAACGCCGCCTCGCCACCGTGGCAGCAGGTGTGGTCGGCGAAGTAGGTGAGGACGTAGAGGGGAGGGTCGTGCTCCTCCGACCGCTGGACCTGCCTCCTGGCCGGGCAGCCGCCGGCGTCGAGCGTGTAATCGGCGCACCTGAAGTAGTGCCTCGGGTGGTCGCTGCCCCGGATGTGCTTCTGCCCGTACTTGGTCCACACGAAGCCGTCGTCCCAGTTCTGCTTCGTCTCCACCCTCGTCGGCGTCGCCGCCGTCTCTCTGCTGCTCGCGCGCGTCCTGAAAAAACACAATGGTGGTTGGCTCGTTGCTCGACGTGTACTGTAGCAGTAGTGCTTCGTAGTTAGTTAGATGTACCTTCTTTTGGTCTGGGTTGTCTCAGTGGCTGCGCTCTGGGGCCCCAACTTGCGCTTCTTCCGGCCTGGTTTGCCGTGGAGGGCGGCGAGGGCGCGGTCGCAGCAGCAAAGGATCTCGGCGGCGAGCTCCCGTATCCCGGCGTGGTCGTCCTGGACCTGGAGCAGGGCCTCGAGGGCGGCGGCGGACTTGCGTCCCTGCGCCATCAGTTCGGACGCCCGGGCAGCCGGAGTGACTAGTGTTGCCATGTCCTCTCCTCTCCTCTGCGACTGGGATGCTTTCTCCCTCTGTGTGAGCGCGTGTGTTTCTCTGAAGCTAGCTGGGGTGGATCTAAGCTGGCGGGAGAAGGTCACCTTTTATATATACAGTAGATCTGAGCATAGATTGGGTACTCCATACTACTTAATCTGGATATTTAGGTCAGTAGCTGCCGGTTGCCAGCTATAGGCGGTAGCCGGAGGAAGCAGCTAGCTAGCGATCGAGGGTCGACGAATGCACATGCCAAGCCGATCGATCGAACCATTAATTACTACGTACTCCATTAACAAAAACATAATCGATTCGTTGACGCACGCGCCGCTTTTATTTCATACTCAAACAACGCGGTCATACTCCCACTTGGAGTGAGTTGGATCGACCGATGATGCATGCATGTTGCCGCGTTGCACGCCGCGTCGTTTAGCTGCATTTGACGATGCAAATGCATGCACGGGCAATCATATAAGTAGTAGTACAAAACTGCAAATTGCAGGGGAATTTTGTTAGCTTTATGTACTGGCCGTCCAGAAGCAAAAAGATCTATATGTGGCAGGCACACCCACCCATGCATCCATCAGCAGGTGTCGTTTTCCTTTCAGAATGCCTCATGTGTGCCGTCTAGTTGTAATATTAATTGGCTAAGCTTGTCCATCCATAATACAGAACAGGAGTTTACCGTGGCCCACTAGGCCAAACCCGGACCCAGTTGGGAGCTTGGCATTAGAAAAGCATGTGATGCTACTAATACCATGGGCGGATCTAGCAGGCATGACAGTGGTCTCGATTAAAATAGGCTCCATTTGGTTTTGCATTTGGTAGTTGCCTTCGTTCGGATTGGTTTGGATGGCTCACATGACATAGAGAAGTTTGGCTTATCAGGTCGACAATGAGTTGTTCTAAAAAAAAAGGTCGACAATGAGTTTTTTTAAGTTCTAAACTAGTTTAAACTTAGTTCAAAATTGCGACACTTATTTAATTAGGATGATTTTTCTAGAATGGTAAGACGAAGTCACGACAAAAATTGTTCATCGGTGGAATAGCGCGCACATAATGGATCGCAACATCTATTGATCCGTAGCCTGTTACTCCTTCACTCTGAAAGAAAAAAAGAAAGAAAGAAAGAAAATTTCTCTTCATAAAGAGGAAAGTATCTTGATCTGTATGGATAGGTAAGGTGAGCTGCCAGCTAGTCTCGCTAGAGGAAGCAGCTACGGAGGGTCAACAAATGCACAGGCCACGGCTAGCTACTATTGTTAACCAAATCGATTAGTTGACGCACGTGCGCGCCGTTTCATGCACGCGGTCACTCACTCACCCCCTTGTCACCGCGTTGCATGGCGCGTCGTTTAGCTTAATGAACCGTACTCTTTGGGATCCATCCATGGTCTCGTCGAACGATCGAGGACCCCAGAAGAGGCAAAAGATCTATACATGGCATGGCAGGCAACCACCCATCAGCAGTTTGCACGTTCCTTTCAAGATGCCCCAATAGTATCTAACGAGTTAAGCTTGTCAATCATCGAGGAAAGGACCCACTAATTAAGCTAAACACAGTTGGCAGCTTGTCATTAGAAAAACACCTGATGTTGCTGCTAATACCATGGGCGGATATAGCAGGCATGGGAGTGGTCTCGGTTAAAATAGGCTCAACTTGGTCGGTTTCGTTCGGATTTGTTTGAACGGTGTGAGATGTTGCTACAAACGATTGGCTAATTATGTCAACAAATGAAGATGAATTAATGCTAAATGCAACATTTTAGTATTAATTAAGTAGTATAGTAGAATCATGACATGAAGTCACCACAGATATTGTTTCATTTACTAGATATTCCTATGCCTTCCGACAGCCACCGTGCCGGTTAAGTAACTGACAATAGAACAATGGATGTGCGTGTTAACACGGAGGCAGGGGATTATCCACTTTCTCGACGAAAACAAACAAATGAAGAAACATCAAATTGGCGTACGGAAAACAAAACAAAAATCATCAAATTTCAAATAATTTTCAAGGAGCCAGTTAATAAACCTTATGTTTTTAGATGATGGAGGTTTTATTAACCCCTGCATCATACATGCATGGAGTACTTATTTACCATGTTTATTATAATATCACATAACAATGTTCGTAACAAACGCTAGAAACCACAACACTAAGACCAATCAACGTCACAACAAGAATATGCCAACCAAGACAACCCCCTAAGCTAAGAAGCCTAACACTGACATGCCATCAAAGCGGGACATAAGCTTAATGATAAGTGATAGCCAACCCAAGTCACTTGGCGCGAAACTCTATCGACATCTTGTGTTGCTCCTTTTGACGATTGCCATGACAACATCTAATAAGTACATGAGAATAGCACTAAAGAGGAGGCGTGCAAAAATCCTTGTGTTTGGCTAGGAATGTGTTCTTCTGGGCCAACATGAATTATCCGTGGAGGTGCACGAACAAGGTCGAAGTTGTTGTACTCCCTCCGTCTTTTTGTTTGCATATAACTTTTGTGCGAAGTCAAAGTATCTCTATTTTGACCAAATTTATAGAAAAAAGTATTAACAATCACAATACCAAATGAATATATTTAGATTCATTATGGAATGTAGTTTTATATTATGTATATTTGGTATTGTAGATGTTGATATTTTTTTATACAAATTTGGTCAAAGTTTGTATTGTTTGACTCGACACAAATCTTATATGCGGAGTAAAACGGATGAGTAGATTTTACATGGAAAAAGCCATTCCCCCACGCAAAGCTCCATCCTCCAAGTATCCTGACGGTGCTGGTTGATAATGATGTTATTTCTAATGTATTCCGCATCATCTATAGAACACACTAAAATATTTATACAAGGTGATATATCTCTTAGTGTTGACTCTAGCACTTATGTTACCAGATATCCTAAAATAGGGTATGTTAAAATTTAAACAAGCGCATAAGGCTATGCAGTCTAGATGTGTCATTCAGTTGGATAACTCCAGTTGGCTCACACATACAAGGCAGGTGGCCTGGACAGTCTAGCAGTTTGAAGAGAGGTCGGTCGGAATAATTTTCTTTAAGATTGATGAAAACATATAGGAGCATGGTGTTGGTGGTGGTCGACTTCTGGGCATGGAAACACATGATTCGTGTGCAAGGGATTGGGATCTTCAACAAGGCGATTGCGCGGGTACGATTCAACACAGTGCACATATGGGAGCTTGAAGCGGATGGGACATGAGATAGCGTGTACAACTACATAATGTCATGTCGAATGGAGCAGGGGTTTGATGGAAGATTTAACTCTCGATGTTGATGTAGGAGTGACAATGTAAGACGTGAGAGAATCAAAACTTATTTTATCGCGCGCGGTGGAGTGGGCAAGCTAGAGCTCCATGCTTCAAGGGATATGTGAAACTCGGCATCGTTCGGTGATGATTTGTGGTTCTCTACAATGGGGGTTGAGTGAGTGCAGTCGACCGGGGCATAGATGACATCGGCAAGACATATGGTATGCACAGAACACGCCAACAAAACCAGGGCATAGGTGGTCACACAATGTGCAGAGAGGATGTCCTTAGGATCAAGATTCAAGTTCATGACTAGATCTATTGATCTTCACCCATCATATGGATAGGAATTGACCATGAAGAACCCAAGAGAGTATTGAAAAGTCTGAAATGTCCAAAGCATTAGAAGTATCTACCCATATATTAGGTAGTTTTTTTTATGAAAACTGTAGAAGTAGGTGGAGTGCTATAGCTATGGGGCAAACATAAACTATCTTGAAAAAAATAAACAATAAGGAATTTGACTTGGAATGACCAAGGCAATGTCAAAGTTTGTTCAAAGTTGAGACACGTAGTTAACAGGAGCAATGATGATTTATTTCAAATAACTCTGATACGTAGCATTCAATATCTGAGTTGTTCACTTTCTTATAGATCTGAAAAGAGGCAACTAGGATACGATGCAAACAATCTTATCGAATATGGTGACTTTATAGTCAACATGTAATGGCATTAAATGAATAGTCCCGAAGATGGGAACGCAATGCAAGAGCCCGAAAGAACTTTACTTTACATAGGAGCATTGAATGTCACGAATAAAAATGAGACTACAGTTGTGCTCCCTCCTTTCATCTATATAGGGCCTAATGTGTTTTTCAAGGCTAACTTTGACCAAATGTTAGAGCAATAATATATGACATGCAAGTAACACAAAGCATACCGTCAAATTCGTATGTGAAAGGAGTTTTCAATGATATAATTTTCACATTATACATCTCTGGCATTATTGATCTTATCAATAGTCAAAGGCGGTCTTGAAAAATGCATTAGCCCCTATATATAGATGGAATGAAGGAGTAGGTGAATGTCACGAGTATAGTGACTGGCCGGTTGCTGGTCTCCACACGAGACTACAGTTGTAGTTGGAGATATGTGAAGACAACCGGAGTAGCAACAGCAACAACAACTATCTCAGCTTCTGCTACTTCCTAGCTCCGGCCACCGGAGAGCATGATTGGGTCGAGTGATGGCGTTTGGTGTGCTTGATGCGGTGATGACCATATACGAGACCGTTCACAAACAAATGTCAGCACTATCGTCAAAAACGTTTGTCAACTGAACTGCTTTTTTCTGCAAGTGTTCATCCTTCGTTGGTTGAGTCTGCACCGACAGGTTCTCTACCATTGAATTACTTTGGAGTATATGTTTTAAAGACGAAAGAGGTTTCCCCGCTTTATATTATAAAGCAATCGTCACGGCAATACATCCGAGCAAACAATAAAAAGGAAACAAAGGAAAAAACTGCAAAGATATATGATGCTACAAAACGGCTAACGGGATCCAAATGCACCAAGCCAAGGCTTGAGCATCGAAGCCCTCAGCGAGCTCCACACCCTGCCATTGATAAGGTGAAGCCAAGGGGACTACTCGCCGCCGGAGGACAATCATGTGTCACCTTCCATGAACCACCACCGCAAGGCCGCCATCCGCCTCCGCCACCAAAGAGGCCCCCTACCCTCTCATCCTGGAATGTAGGACGCCACGCTGTCGGTAGGCAGAGCTGCTCACCCCCGAGCACGCATAGACGGCCCAGACGGTGGCCGGGAAGGACGGCAAGACGGCGACCCCACCAAGCAGAGCAATTCCTCCACCGACACATCTTCTCCAGCAAAGAGCGTGGTGCCTAATGCAAGTCGTCGAATGGGGGAACCACTGAAGATAATTGACGACCCACCACTTGCTCAGAAGCTCACACCATTACCTCCACCGACCCAAGGAGGCATCGTCTTCAAGAAGAAAACGGCGCCGGAAGGTCACCGCCGCCCAATCCAGGAGATTTTGGGCTTTCACCCGGGTCACAGAGGTGGAGGAAGAGGGAAAGGATCACGGTGTCGCCTTCAGGAAGGGGAGCAATGCCCGGAGCATTGCCGGCATCGTGGCCACTGACGCCGGCCAGGAGCTTCCCCCGATCCAGAACCCACGCCTGCATCACCCCACCCAGCAGCGGGCTAGCAGGGCGAGGTGTACCTGGAGCAGAGGAGGATGTCGTCTTCAGCTCGATGCACGGGGCCAGCGGGTCAACCACAGCCTCGATCCCCACGTTTGCCACCACCTTGTTGCCTCACCGAAAGGGGCTGCCGCCTCAGATCCGCGCCCACCACACACGGCCCGCGCGCTCGTCCCCACACGCCGGCGGAGAGGGGAGGAGCCCCAAGGCGGCACGCGAGCCACCGCACCGCCCCATAGCCACCGCGCGCCACGCCTCCGCTGGATCTCGCCGCCCCCGCGCCGTCAGACCAAGCAAATGGGAGAGAAGGGCCCGCCGCAGCCAGCGCCACGCGGGCTTAGCCCCGCGACGCCTGCCGGCCGCGGCGGAGGGGAGGGCAGGAGAAGAGGAGACGGGAACCGGCGGCTAAGGTTGAGCCCCCGGGTAGTGGCGGGGGGCGACACGGGAGAGGGAGAGGGGTCTTCTACACCCTGTCAGTCTCAAGGATACGCACCTCAGTCGTAGTACTACGACACAAGGAACTATTGGTAAAGGAGTTACATGCTATTGTTACAAGACAACGTCTTCCAAATCGAAGAACTCTCTAACATAATCCGAAGAGTTGTTCACGAAGTACTCCCAATCGGCAGCCGATGGGTCCCATGCAGCAGGGGGAGAGGAGCAACGGGCGTCGTCTGCCGACGAGCTCATCTGCGCCACAACCGCCGGCACCGCGGGGAGCAAGTCTGACGACGGCGTTGACTCAACTTTGGTCACCTCAGCTCGGAGCTCCTGCGAGCGTGAGGTCTCACCCCAAACAGTATCGCCGTAGTTGAGCCAACAAGGAGAGCGGCTGCACGGTGCGGCCGCCGACCCAAAGTCAAGGACGAGCGGCGGCTGCATCTTGACGTTCTTCACAACGGCGGCCGCGACGCCGTGGCGGCAGCAGGTGTGGTCGGCCAAGTAGGTGAGGACGTAGAGGGGAGGGTCATGCTCCGGGGATCGCTGGACATGCCTCGAGGCGGGGCAGCCGCCGTCGTGGAGCGCGTAGGCGCATCTGAAGTAGTGCCTAGGGTGGTCGCTGCCTCGGATGTGCTTCTGCCCGTACTTGGTCCACATGAAGCCGTCGTCCCAGTTCCGCTTCCACTCCACCCTGGTCGTCTCTCCGCTGCTCGCGCGCGTCCTGAAGTCAGAAAAAGTCGTGGTTGGCTCGTTAGTCACGTGTATGTTATTCACTGTACTCCCTCCGTTCCAAATTACTCGTCGTGGTTACTTTTAGTTCAAATTTGAACTAAAAGTAACCACGACGAGTAATTTGAAACGGAGGAAGTAGGAGTAATGGAGTATAGACTATAGCATGGTTTTGGTTACCGCTCGAGATATTCGGTTATCGCTGAGCCGTACCTTGTTTTGGGCTTTGTCTGAGTGGCTGCGCCGCCATGGCGGGCCGGCTTGCGCTTATGCCGGCCAGCAGGTTTGCCGTGGAGGGCGCCGAGGGCGCGGTCGCAGCAGCGGAGGATTTCAGCGGTGAGCTCACGCATCCCGGCATGGTCCTGGACCTGGAGCAGGGCCTCGAGGGCAGCGGCAGACTTGCGGCCCTGCGCCATCATCTCGGACACCAGCGCCACTGAAGTGGCCCGAGTGATCAGTGCCGCCATGCCCCTCTCTCTCTCTCTCTCCCTCCCTCTCTGTGTGTGTGTGTGTTGTCTCAAGCTGCTAGCTGGGGGTGGATGAGCCGGCAGGAGAAGGACACCTTTTATACACGAGATCTAAGCATAGATCGTGTGTGTGTGTGTGTGTGTGAGCAATAGATCTAGCTGGA